GTAAGAATGGGAAAGAGGAGTCTACCTCATGTAGTTTTTTAGTTCAGGTCAGTTTTATGAAAATCGAATCATAAAATTTCAGAAACAAACTTCAAGCTTCTTGTTTCTAGTTTTCCACTAGAGGGAGCTCCAAATTTACTTTTAAAAACAAAAACAAAAACTTACCTTAAAATGTGCATGCTAAATAAGAAGCATATCTTTTTTTTTAAAAGAGCATTTCCTTGTGCTGTTTCTTAACTGTTCATAATTATTTCATCCAGTTAAATCATGCAGTTAGCATTTTAAGACTTCCTCACTAGGGTAAATGTTATGTAAATTTCCAGGTTTAGTTTAAATGTGATTACGTTATATAGAGAAAGACTGATTATGTCTAGACAAATGGAAGTTAAATGCATTCCTCAACTTCTAAAAATTTATGACTCATTTTAAAATGTGTCTGTAGTCATCTTTCACTGACTCCATATTTCAAAGCATTTTCAAATTATGTTGTTACGTATATATTATAAATAAACTTTGTATAGTTTAGACAACTGTTTAGACTGAATTTTCAATGTGGTTGATTGCAGAAAATATATCATTGTTTTTAAAGTGCTTCAGATATCTTGAGGCATCTTCCATTGAATACTTCAGGTCCATTATGCCTTCAGCACAGATTGTAACATGAAAATTCACAACTATGGATTCTCTTACATAACTGTCCAAGATCTCAGAGGTCAGTGGGGCATTTTCCACATCTTAAGGAACATTTTTCCCATTCTTCTGTTCCACCCTGTAAATTTGGATGTGACAGAGTGTGTGAAGGAAAATGCTTCACTGCATATAGACAATTTCAAAATCTATGCAAGAGTAACATGTAAAAATACAAACTGTGAGTCACAGTTACCAATTTTCCCCAACTTTTGTTTGCCCATGCTTTATTTGGTCTTGTTGTTGTTAGGTGCCATCAAGTCTATTGAACTCATAGCAATGCTATAGGACAGAGTAGAACTGCCTCATACAGTTTCCAGAGAGCAGCTGGTGCATTTTAACTGCCGACCTTTTGGTTAGCAGCCAGAGCTCTTAACCACTACACCACCTGGGCTCCTTACTTGGTCTTAGATGCATTTAACTTTGTTTACGTTTCCTCAGCAGGTACAGCAGAGGGCTCTCTATATCCACCATAAATGTAAAAGTCTGGAAATGCCTTTGTCAGTGTATTGTTATGTGGTCAATTAAAACATTGTTTTCTTGAAGCAAACTTAAAGTGAATGGTGTTTCATCTGTTAATACAGCATTCTTTGGGCAAGAAGTTACAAAATTTAAGCTGTGGTGCTGGGTTGGAAAAAATGTGATTTTTTTTTTTTTTTTTTTGGAGTTAGTGTTCTCAGAGGAAGCTTATTCAGAGTAATCAGTTGTGGCAGGACACAATAAAACATGCTTTGGGTTTATCCCACCTCTTGAGAGAAAGGGTTTTTTGTTTGTTTGTTTGTTTAGACATTTGAAGAAGTTGAGTAAAAATAAGTACCAGTGTAACTGAAAAACTTGGTCATTGCTCAGGATATATAGACTTCATAATAGAATATATAAATAACTGGAAAAAAAAATCAAGTAAAAACAGGAGCCTACTAAACCT